ACCGGTATTAACCTTTATTTACCGGTATTTTTGAAACCGGTTTCAAGCCCTGGCATAAACAACTGAGCGGTGCCACTCCGACGTCGCAACGCATTCACCCCTCCCTACCGCGTCTTGGTGGTTGCAAGTCCGGTGCGGCGCCGGAGAGCATCGCATGACATGCCACAGATATTTCTATGTAAAACGCCGCAGCGACACCGCTCCGGCACCGCACCGCCGCCGCAACGCATCGTGTGCTCCCACTCTTACACGATGCGCTCCGGCGCCGCACCGGACTTGCAACCACCGAGACGAGGCGGAGAAGGGTGACTGCGTTGCGACTTCTGAGCGGCACCGATCAGTTGATTATGCATCATAAAGAATGTACCTACGCTGCTGGGGTGCCTGCGGCGCTGATGCGATGTAACAACGTTGCGGTACTGAACCGCTCGAGTGCCCACCCATACGACGAAATCTTGCGGTGCGGCGGCGGCGCCGCAACGCATCCTATGCTCACGCACTAATGATTAACATGTGGAGAGACTGCAGTGTTGATTTTGATTTGATCCCACGGCTTCTTTTATTTCAATTGCATATCACTTTCTTTTCGTTTCAAATATTAATTAAGTTTACTTATTTTATTCTTTTTTTAATAAGTAAGGAACGAAGTTTTACATCATCTGCCAGTGCCAGGCGAACCCACCTCAAACTTGACTCAAGCTTACGCTTAACTGGTTTTTAGCCCCCCACTCGACGCAAGAAGGGGTTTTAAAAAATAAGTTATAATTAAATAAGAAACTGAGTTCAGTATTGATTTTCATTTACTGTTTTAATATTTGAAAACGGATTCGTATTCGGTATGTATGAATTATTGATTTTAAAGATTAAGGGATTTTTTTATTTTCAATATATTATATACTTTATAATACTGTACCGTACGTGAGGGAGTCCTCAAACTAAAACTCATTTTAAAACAGTGTGACCAGAATAAATTTTATGAAAAATCCGAAACACCTCAAAAACGACTGAATTTTACTGATTATATTACAGTATTTTTTTTAAAAAGAAGTCCATAAAATATACCAAAAAGTATTAAAGTACTGAATCTGATCACACTATAATAAAAGTCGACTCAATGCAATCAGTACAAATGTTATTAGAATACGTAACGAACGCGGCACATTACACACACCTTGCTATATTATAAAAAAATAAATAAAAGAAACTAATGAGTAGGTTGTAGGGTCGGAGTATCCGTGGTCTTACCATAAAAGGCCTTGTTGACTGTAAATCAAATCAATGTTGTTTGTCAAAGTCACTGACATTAATGGCAGAAAACCACGGTTGATTTTTTGGCGAGAGTGCGGTTGGCGTCATATTTTAAATATTCTTTAAATTCGTTCATAGTAGATATTGGTGTCGATTCTAGCATGATTCTCTAAAGCTAAACTTAAATTTGACAACAGTGTATCCTGGTCATTCTCTACACAGAATGAAAAGGAGAGACTGATGTTAAATTTAGTTTTAAGTTTAGAGAATCGTGTCAGAATCGATACCATTGTGAAATAAAATTAGTGTGATTTGGTGTTACAATCGTCTGCGCAACTAAAGAATTAACGTAATCTTTTTAAATATTCGCTATTTCGGTCAAGTGGATGGGAGAGCTTTATTGTAGTGTTGACTACCTTACAGAAGCTTATTGAGAAAGCTGATCCAATACATTTCGTGCCAAACACTCCAAGAAACATTAGAATGCGTCACACCCACATTCTAATGTAAAAAAGGAAAATTAATACAAAAATAAGACGATGGCTGCATGGCTTTGCCTTTGCCTTTCCCAATAGGGAAGAATGGAACTAAAAAAAAAAGAACTACGATTTTTTTTGGCGGGATTTCATCGAGTGCGGTTGGCGTCTTATTTTAATTATTCTTAAATTCGTTCATAGTGGATATTGTGAAATAAAATTGGTGTGGTTTTGTGTAACAACCGTCTGCGTAACTAAAGAATTAGTGGAATCGTTAAAATATACGCTATTCCGGTCAAGTGGACGTGAGAATTTTATTGTAGTGTTGACTACCTCAAAGAAGCTTATAGAAAAGGCCAACTCGATACATTTCGTGCCAAAGACTCCAAGAAACATTAGAATGCGTCACACCGATATTCTAATGTAAAAACAAAAAGAATATTAATTTAATTAAAGACTAGGCTGTATGGGCATTGTTCCCTTTGCCTTCCCTAAAACGGGAGAACTTCAACAAAAAAAAAGAACTACGGTTAATTGCAAATTTTGATAAGTATATTCTATGTAAACTACCTTCTTCCTACTTCCATGATCCATTATCTTTTGTATTCCGTATCCTTTTGCTTTAAAATCTTTCAGTTTCCCTAATTTTTATTTTCGACTATGGTTAAACGCACAAGTCGTGGAAAGCCAAGAAAAAAGAAGAAGAACCATGGCCTTAATATGGCAGAACTACACTTATCTGTCCTGTTAATGTGACGTGTGTAACTCTCTGTGATACTAACTAAGAGGTTTCCCCTTAAATCTAGGGTAAAAATAAGGAAGCTAAAGTTTTCTGAGGCTTAATTTTAATGGGATTTTTTATTCCATTTCTATGTAGCCTTTTTTTTTAAAAAAAACACTTCACTCTACTAATATAACGTTTTTTAAGAATCTTCTTGGAGTTCCGTACTCGAAGGGTCCAAACGAAACCTATTGCTGTCACTTACGTCACGTATCCATCTGTCCATCGCCGTACACAATTCTCACACAAGTTTTATAGCTAAACGGTTAGAGCTACACTTTTAAAATTGTATATCATTGACTCAAAGCCAACATATTAGAAATGACAATTTAACACGAACTGCACTTAGAAGTAGATACACGCAAACTGTAATTAAGTGGGTGGAGCAAAAATGTGCTTTCAGCACGCCGATCAGTTAGCCTAATCTACAGCTAGGTAGACCAACATCCAACATTACATACCTACATATGCCATTTTCATAGACATCTTTTTAACTTATGTGTCACGGTCAGATGCAGAGAGGATGCACCTCCATGCATCCTCTGCATCGGAAGGAACAATTAAGCTTCGATGACACGGGGCGAGTTTACACTAACTACAAGCTAGCGAGATCGCTAGCAGCTTGTAAACTCACCCCGTGTCATCGAGTAGCAGCTCATAAAAAGCCGACGACACGAGGCGACTTTACAAGCAAAGTCGCTGGCTTGTAGCTTATAACTTGCCCCGTGTCATCGAAGCTGAACTCACGTTCTGCTGGGATGCAACGGAGTAGCCAAATACCAGGTAAAATGCCTCGGCTCACCAGGAAATACTCCAAAAGGCAATGGCCAATGTGCCTTGGGGCGTTCCTGTCGGAACTGAGCCAGCTGGACTGACTCCGGCAACACACCCTCCTCACGCAAAACAGGCGTTATATGGACGTCGACTTCCATAAACGCTCGTAGCAAGAAGAAAATAATATAATCCTATGATAATATAAATACCAATATAATTTGGACATCTTCAAGGCCAGAGTGAACAGGCGTCTTCAAGGCAGAAGTGTACCATCCTAGGCCTCGTTATCGCTTTCCATCAGGCGAGATTGTGATCAAACGCATTGCCTAGTAACACCACTTCTACTAGTTTTTTTTACATTAACTTTCGGGACAAATATTTTTAAGAGCTTACAATACTGAATTTATGTCAATGTCAAATTATTTTTTACTTCATTGTGATAGGGATGGGCAAATAGAAAATAAATATCGATATTTAACGTATCGATATTTTTCATATATATCATTATATACCACGCAAAAAATATCGATATTTCAATATTTTTTGCCCAATATACAATTATTTATAAAAATTGCCAAAGTATTCGAAATTTTAAAGCAAATACACGTCTGGCTGTTTTGACATCAGTTTTATTAAATAAAACTAGTTTTTACGGGTTAATGCACGAAAACTTTATTTATTTATTGACGTTTCGTAGCCTTTACAGGCTACGTCGTCAGAATAAAACTTTTATTTAATTTGTCGAGCTACCTTCGAAAGACTTTTATTGAGCGTTTGGTTATTTCATTGTTCGATTTTTGTTAAATTATTATGATGATTATGATGATGATTAAGGAGATAGAAAGCCTCTCTTGAGTTTGTTTCGCCGGTTCTTCTCAGGAAGGTCTCCCAGTTTTGGAACCGGTGGTAGTTTACGGTAGTTAGGGTCAAATAAATAAACTCAAAATTACAAACAAGAATTTTAAATAAAATACTTTATTAAGTAAATTAAATAATAAAATTCATACATAGACAATAAAACTTAAAAATCGAACAATGAAATAACCAAACGCTCAATAAAAGTCTTTCGAAGGTAGCTCGACAAATTAAATAAAAGTTTTATTCTGACGACGTAGCCAGTAAAGGCTACGAAACGTCAATAAATAAATAAAGTTTTTCGTACATTAACCCGTAAAAACTAGTTTTATTTAATGAGTGATGTGCGTGAAAACCTAAGAAACAAATATCAGTTTTATTATTAAAAAAAAAACAGGTTTATGTACCAGATACAATCAACACAACACTTTGCTAGTGTAATTACTGGGTATACGAGACCAAATAACTGTTGTCCCAATGTGTGACAGGCGCAAGACAGTATCAGAGCAGTAACTAAGTAATTCTTGGGTACTGTTTGGCACTGCAGCTCTTCATACACTGTAATTTTTGTTTGTGTTTGAAGCAATGAAACTAAACGCAAACAGCCTACTGCATAACTACTCTTTTTCTAAATTTAAGTAATCGAATTGGTCAAATACATGATGTGATTGTGATGCAAGAGCAGACAGCAGAGCTTTAAAAATATATCGATTTTGATATCTGAAAATAAATATCGATAATCGATATATCGCGGGAAACAATATTGCTGATTTATATCAATATTTTTCTCAAAAAATATCGATATTTTGATATATCGATATTTTTTACCCAAGCCTACATTGTGATTGTAGTTGAATCGATTGATCTGTATTTTGTTGTTTGAAATAAATTAAAAACACGTAATGATACGTGTAAATGTGTACAAAAACTTAAGTGGCAATGATGGCAAGCTTATGGTTGTGGAAAATACGATAGAAACTTTTAAATCTTCAATATCTGCTCAGTTTAACGTTACAGAGGAAAACTTGAAGCTTTTTTCCTCGAATGGTTGTGAAGTAAACGACGTAAGAGTTTTAAGAGATAACGAGGATGTGTACCTGAGCTTAGAATGCATGGAAGATAGGAAGAACTGTGATAAAATTAAGATATCTGTAGATAAACTAAACCTTGTCGAGAACGACTGCAGGCATAAAAGTAAGGCTGTTACTGACTGGATAACACTGAATATCGGTGGGAAACACTTCACCACGACTCGTTCAACACTTGTGGCGAAGGAACCTTTATCCATGTTAGCGAGAATGTTTGCTGACGATAATAATACATACCTAATGAATCCCAGTGCTACAGATGCAACTGGAGCATACTTAATTGACAGAAGCCCTGAATATTTCGAGCCTATTCTCAACTATTTAAGACATGGTACTGTTATATTGGATAAAAATGTCAATCCAAAGGGGGTTTTGGAAGAAGCAGTTTTCTATGGTAAGAATGAATAATAGTATGCTTTATGGCCTAAATTAAGAATTTCATTAAAATTAGAAAGTATTGTAATCACCAAGGTTCCAAATAAAAATCAAAATAATTATTAAAAGTAAATATTGTTGTTAAAATAATGTAAAATAAATACGTGAAAGGTCTGAATTTTAAAAAATTATTAAAATGTTGTCCACAGGCATTGACTCCATGATCCCACAATTAAACCATCTCCTGGGAGAAGCTACGAGCTGTTTGAGTAACAATCAAGCCTTAACTCGTATGGATGTTGTTCGCTCTATAATAATTACACCTACCCAGTCAGAACTAAGGTTCCAAGGAGTAAATTTAGCTGGGGCTGATCTCAATAGATTGGATTTGAGATTTATTAATTTTAAGGTGAGTTCTGTACAACCAGATTATACTATTACCCTGTTGAACTTAGGAAACCTAACACACTGAAACACAGCACCACCAAAGATTACATCATGTGGTGAATCCCTGTTTTAAATTTAAGAACCCATGTATATACCAACATGAAGCAATAAAGATTACGATTAACATTATTATAATAACAATCTTCTGTAACATAAATATTGTTATATATGCAAAATTTGGGCAGAATATTTAACCGTGTCTTGCCTCCCTAAGCTATTATATTGAATAGTTTTTTATTTTTATTTATGACTGTTGTTTTCCCAAGGGGGGCCTATTTTAACAAACCAGGATCAGCAACAAAGAACATTATTTCATATATCCAATCATTACATTTAACTAGGCGGCGCCCATAAATTACGTGATGTTTTTTTGAGTTTTCTGTCCCTTCCTCCCCCTGTTGAGATGTCGTGAGATTTTATTCAACCCCCTCCCCCATCCACCAATCTCACGTGAGATTTTTCAAATGTGGGTTTCTTATGTAAACAAATTGGATTGTTATTTTAAAAGAAAAAAAAAATGCTTTGTGCTTTTACGATTATGCTTAAGATTAAATCTTATACAACCTGGATTAAATAGTGTTTTTTTTTGTTTCAATCAGAAAAAAAATTGTGTGATATTTGCAGAGACCCCCCTCTCTCCAGCGACATTTGACTCGACCCCCCCATGTAATGATTGGATATATGAAATAATGTTCTTCATTGCTATAATTATTATGTATTTTGTTAATTGTAATGATTGGATATATGAAATAATGTTCTTCATTGCTGATCCTGCTTTGTTAAAATATCTTTTCTGAATTTGACCACTGCAAATATTGTTCAGACTCATTTATTTACTTATAATTTTAACTGCATATGAATATTGATTTCCAGTATGCTTGCCTGTCCCGATGTAACCTCAGTGGAGCAAACCTGTCACACTGCTGTTTGGAAAGAGCTGATTTATCTCATGCCAATCTTGAGGGGGCACAGTTGCTTGGAGTTAAAGCACTGTGTGCCAACATGGAAGGTGATAAATTAATACATACCTTAATCTGCAAGTCAAAACTTTCTTTATTTTCTACAATGAATTATTATGACATTCAAAGGAGTTGTATTTTTGTAGTAAAAACTTCTTTAGGAGGATTGGGCATTTTTCTAAATGGGAAAAAAACCATTGTACTCGCGACACTATTACCAAGATCTCTTATATTATTTTTAAAAATAATGCTGAACCAGATTGAGGAACGCAGGAGGTTAGCGCATTCGGCATATGATCATGAAAGTTCTGCAACTTTCGCAATAGTTGGTCATGGATGGGTGACCAAAAACTTATTATCATCCTATTACAGCTCCTCCGTACTTCGGATGGTATGTTAAGCCGTAAGTCCTGGCTGCATCTGCATTCGTTAGCACCCACCAATCGGCACTGGGCTCGAATGGTGGGTCATGGCCCTGTCTCCTTATTCCATCAACAGGGAAGGCCTGTGCCCTGTGTTAATGTTGAACCAAATTAACGTGACTTGGAATTGATCCATCTCTAACTCCATGATTGTAGTATGGCCAACGAACTGCCTAAATGCAAAATTTACAGCGGTTCTCAGTGAATTTACAAAAATAGTATGAAATATATTATATTTTCATAGATATAGATAACGTCTTCCTTTTCTTACAGGTGCAAATTTGAAAGGTTGCAATATGGAGGATCCAGTAGGAACCATAGTTGTAATGGAAGGTGTGAATCTAAAAGGTAAATTGAACATATTGATTGTACATACCAACTGTACAACCTGTTTTTTGGTTATTAACTAATGAGTTCATAAATAAAATTATTAAATATGTAAACTAACACCTGTAAACTATCATGTAGTCATTGCTAACACTGGTATTTTTTTTTGTAACACAAGAAACAGAGAAAATAAAAATAATTTATGATAATACATTGTCTACATTTGCAAAATCACAGCGGAAAATGGTAACTGAAATAACGACTATTTTAATTAATTTACGAAAACTTTTTATCAGGTGCAAATTTGGAAGGTAGCAACATGGGTGGAGTGAACTTGAGAGTTGCCACCCTGAAAAATGCCAATCTTCAAAACTGCGATCTCAGAGCTGCCGTACTCGCGGGGGCTGATTTAGAGGTGACTTAAATTCTTTTATCTTTGATAAGTTAAAAGAGTGGCATATTAACGTATGGCACGCGTGATTGAAAGCAGCCACCATAGTCTATACAACTTGAGTTACCTGACTCCATTGCCTACCCTGTGGAGCCCTGGAGACTTATTGACCGACAGAAACACAACACCACCACAGATAGTGCTATTTCAATGTGGGATTCCAAGGTAGAGATTACTCCCTTCCCTTGACGTGAGTAAATTCGCTATTTAGGCCCTGACTCTTAAAATGTTGTGTATACGTCACATGGCATCTTATACATTAGTTAGGCAATGTATAGAATGCCAGACAATAATTAAAATATTACAAATGTTATTTTTCATTTTACACTTTGCCTAAGTACATACAATTCCTAGGGAAAGTACCTGTTGGCGCACCGGCAATGTGTAAAATAAATAGATTTGGCCTGTATTTATCATCCTAACCAAACCTAGTTGGATATAAAATGACCGATGGATGTTATAATTCTCACCGAATGAAATACAGACCAACTCACGCTGGGTCAAGTTAAGTAGTGTTGTGACCTAAACTTAGCCAGCCACCTGATAATTGATAAATCAAACAAGGAAAAGTCGACTCGTTATCTTCTTATACACACATTGCCGACTGTGCATTTGGCATTGCAAAGAATACCCAGGCAAACAAAGACATTAAATACCCTAGATACAACAACACGAACAAAATCGTGGCTGAAACGTGTCCAAAAGGTACATTGGACGATCCACGGACCTCCGTAAGATGATCGCATGGTCAAAAACAATATAATGCATTATTTAAACATCGAAAGTCACCTTTGATGCCTACTGCATAAGGTCTTAATTAAAACGCATGCGTCATAGATGCGTCTGCCAGTACGAAATGCAAGCTAGTAAAATTTTAAGACATTATTATATGCGGAAGAATATAGAAATTATTTTTTGACAACGCGCAATTCTGAATGCGCTGTTAGCAATGTAGCAGGTACAGACCGCGAGGAAAAGAGACGGCTATACTGAGACGTATAACCGACCATGAATTTGAATATCACAAATATTTTATATTAAATCAGTAAATAAAATTTGCTTCAATTGCGTTAAATTAACAAACATCAAATGTTTGTTAATTTAACGCATTTGAAGCAAATTTTATTATTTAATTATCTAATAAATTTTATTAGATACCTGTCGAAAAAGCTTTAACTTTAAGTACTATTAGTATATTTTTCGCATTTTTTCACGGAGATCTGCGGCATCTTGACTTTTCAACGGTCAGCGCGTGACTGTGAACCAAGAAGTGCTTGAGTGGACTTGATTGGGACACATTTGAGCGCTCGTGGTGTGTCTAGGGTTATTTAATATCGGTGCAGGCAAAGTATAAACTGAATAAATTTTTATATGTTGCCTTGTCATTTTCATTTTAGACATTCTATACATTGCCTAGGTATTGTATAGAATGTCGGATTATACAGATTGCTGGTAACATTTATAATTTCTTGTTTTATTTCATATGTTGCAGTGTTGTGATCTCTCGGGCAGTGACTTACACGAAGCTAATTTACGCGGTGCAAACCTAAAAGACGCTGCATTCGAATTGATGCTGACTCCACTTCACATGTCTCAGACTATAAGATAATTAATATTAAAAATATACGAATAACAAACTTATGAATTTATTTTCTTTAACCTTTGTTTTACCTCCTTTACTAATAAGGAGTTACCAAGAATTTTAACATATAATGAAGATAATTAAGAATGGTTCAACAACAAAAGGTCTGCCCCAGTCACGCGAGATTTAAGTCAGATTGACAAAGATTAGCTTAGGAAAGTTTTGTTTAGTAGGTTGCAAAAAAATTGTTTCACAACATGATATTAATACGGCAAGCACAATTCCGTGCCTTTAAAGTAGTAACTTCTCATACTGCATATTCAGGATAATAACGATAATGAAAGACGAAGATAGGATGTTATAGATAATAATATAACTCAAGAAGAATTCCAAATTAAAATGAAGGAAGAAAAATTTTAAATAAAGGACGCCAAAACCAAAAGTAGGTATTAGTCTATTATAGATAAACACAAAGTTTAAAAAAAAATGCAATATTGCGAACGAAATGATCAAGCAACAGAAGAAAAAGCACTCGAAGTAGATTGTTTTTAAGAAAGAAACTTTTAACTATGAAACAGCAGATGATGACTTAGAAGATGTATAACACTGAATTATAGTGAGGCAAGTTCCCATATAGCATCAAATAGTAATATATGGCACGAAAGGTTAAGACACCTTAATCATGCTGGAATGAGAATATTGGGCCTACCCCTATCTAAAGGAAAATGTGAGACACAGTGCATTTTGGTTATAACGACAATGAAGGGACCACTCTTTTTGCGCCGTTATATCCGGAAGTCGTTACAGGCAAGGTAAAAAGATACAGACATGTACACATGTATAGTTTATATTCATTTATAAATTATTTCCACGTTTTCTTCAACAGTGGAAGTGCGTCTAGCTGCCATATTTATTCAAAAGTTTACTAAACCCAGTTGCTACTCAGAATATCACTTTGTAACTGAACCATAAACTCCGAAACGTACACGCTTCCCTACCTACTTAGGTGATATCTAGGTATAAACAAAAGGTAAAGGTCTCCACACTTGCTGGCCATCTGTGTGGATGTAAACAAAAGATTAAAAATGTTTGTGAAAGAAAAGAATCTTTGTGTCTTTGGCGGCCGTCTCCGGTCACAATATCTACATGGAATTTCTAGGAATTTGTTACAAATGATTCATTAAAAACAGTCGCTACACCCGAACTCGGTGTAACATCCAAAGTCTATAACCACATGAATTTTATACTAAAGTATGCTTTCATTTCAAGGGACTTAAGAGTTAACGTTGCTTTAAGTAAATGGTCGCTACAATCAAGGTCGTAATGATTAAAAACGACTGTATATGCATGAAAGCCAAAAGTACAAGAGTACCTTTTCAAAACAAGGAATTGCCAAGAACTAGAGAGATTGGTGAAAGAATTATAGTATAATAAAGAAGAAAGAAACCTGCGCCTAATCGTATAAGTACACAAAATTATTGATATATTCGCATTTTCTTTAAGTATTTTATGAACTATATTTATAACCTGTAACATATTAATTATAACCTAAATTATTTTCTCTATTACTTGGGTGGCAGTTGAGCAGCTGGCTACACGATTTATGACAGCTTACTTTTGCAGGACTGCAAAGGCTGCTCAATAAAACCGGAAGTGCTACGTTACTCACATCCGGTTTGTAGTCTTATCAGACTATTCTCAACTTATAACTTAAACATTCTCTTTATCTATCTCTTACGGTTTGGCCGCTGAAACAGCACCACGGACGGACGGACGGACTTGTCTATTAGATAAGAGATTATTTCTGAATACGCAGTCCTGCAAAGGCTGCGAAACGTCAGATAAATAAATTCAGTGCATTTCAAAACCCGTAAAAATTGTTTTATTTAATCATGTAGTCATACACCTCAACAACTGAGAGTCTTAATCATACTCTAATCTCTAAAGGACAGAGTTCGTGCATTACTACAAAGAGTAGTATTTACTTATATTACATTACTATTAGAAGGCAGCTTACCTAAACATCTGTGGACAGAGGCCTTAAAATGTGCTACCTATAAACTAAACAGGTCACCTACAGTATCCTTAATGGGCCTACCACACGCACGAGCTTCACCACAGTTTTGCCTGCGCAGGCCGGTTTGTACACGGAACACGGTGCGTGTAGTTGGTAATGGGACTACCACACGCACGAGCTTCACCACAGTTTTGCCTGCGCAGGCCGGTTTGTACACGGAACACGGTGCGTGTAGTTGGTAAAACTGTATCACGCGCCAACCCCACAGCGCGGCCTGCGCAATTTTCGACTTGCTTGAAATTTTGCCTGCGCAAGCCCGGCCTGCGCGTACTTGTCTGTGCGTATCGTTCAGTGTTCAAGCCACAGTCGAGTGTACTTTGTGTCGAGGCTCGCTCGTCGTTTCATGAGGTCGTTCGTCATCGTCACACAAATATGGTAGATTTGCGTACGTACAATCGCGAATTCACGTCTGAATTAATTAGTTAATACAAATCTCTGCCTGCACTCTGGAAAATTAAATCTAAAGATTATTCCGACCGAAATAAAAAGAACGACGACTACGAAAGAATGATAAATAAAATGAAAGAGGTAAAAACATAATTTTTGCAACTAAATACCTATGCCTAATACCTACTACCTACCTACTTGCACATATTATGTACATATCCTATCGTTTTTACATGTTTTTTTTTTAACAAACACTTGAAACATAGTAGCATAAGAAATGTTTCTTCATTAGAAAACATTGTTTCCACGCCAATGATTTCGATAAGAATGAGGCTTGCGCGTACTTAACTGTGCCGTGTGGTAATGTGCTTACCACACGCACAAGCTTCACCACAGTTTGGCCTGCGCAAGCATCTCGCACGAAAAAACTGTACACTTTGTGCGTTACCACACGGCACAGGTAAGTACGCGCAAGCCTCATTCTTATCGAAATCATTGGCGTGGAAACAATGTTTTCTAATGAAGAAACATTTCTTATGCTACTATTTTTCAAGTGTTTGCTATTTAAAAAAATATGTAAAAACGATAGGATATGTACATAATATGTGCAAGTAGGTAGGTAGTAGGTATTAGGCATAGCTATTTAGTTGCAAAAATTATGTTCTTACCTCTTTCATTTTATTAATCATTCTTTCGTAGGCGTCGTTCTTTTTATTTCGGTCGGAATAATCTTTAGATTTAATTTTCCAGAGTGCAGGCAGAGATTTGTATAAACTAATTAATTCAGACGTGAATTCGCGATTGTACGTACGCAAATCTGCCATTTTTGAGTGACGATGACGAACGACCTCATGAAACGACGAGCGATCCTCGACTCGAAATACACTCAACTGTGGCTTGAACACTGAACGCCCAACCACACGCACAGACAAGTACGCGCAGGCCGGGCTTGCGCAGGCAAAATTTCAAGCAAGTCGAAAAGTGCGCAGGCCGCGCTGTGGGGTTGGCGCGTGATACAGTTTTACCAACTATACGCACCGTGTTCCGTGTACAAACCGGCCTGCGCAGGCAAAACTGTGGTGAAGCTCGTGCGTGTGGTAGGCCTATAACGCACAAAGTGTACAGTTTTTTCGTGCGAGATGCTTGCGCAGGCCAAACTGTGGTGAAGCTTGTGCATGTGGTAAGCGCATAATAAAACTGTATCACGCGCCATCCCCACAGCGCGGCCTGCGCACTTTTCGACTTGCTTGAAATTTTGCCTGCGCAAGCCCGGCCTGCGCGTACTTGTCTGTGCGTGTGGTTGGGCGTTCAGTGTTCAAACCACAGTCGAGTGTATTTTGAGTCGAGGCTCGCTCGTCGTTTCATGAGGTTGTTCGTCATCGTCACTCAAAAATGGCAGATTAGCGTACGTACAATCGCGAATTCACGTCTGAATTAATTAGTTTATACAAATCTCTGCCTGCACTCTGGAAATTAAATCTAAAGATTATTCCGACCGAAATAAAAAGAACGACACTTACGAAAGAATGATAAATAAAATGAAATAAGTAAGAACATAATTCTTGCAATTAAATACCTATGCCTAATACCTACTACCAACTACTTGCACATATTATGTACATATCCTATCGTTTTTACATGTTCTTTTTAATAGCAAACACTTGAAAAATAGTAGCATAAGAAATGTTTCTTCATTAGGAAACATTGTCCACGCCAATGATTTCGATAAGAATGAGGCTTGCGCGTACTTAACTGTGCCGTGTGGTAACGCACAAAGTGTACAGTTTTTTCGTGCGAGATGCTTGCGCAGGCCAAACTGTGGTGAAGCTTGTGCGTGTGGTAAGCGCATAAGAGGGGCATACCAATAAATGTCATAAAATGAAACCAAATAGTTTTGTCAAGGGATGTTTGTTTTGATGAAAGCAGTTATGCATATAATCCTATTATTAGTGCGAAAACCATAGATAAACAAATACAGGAAAATGAAGAATATCACGCGGAAACGACGCTGCGGATGAGCTGGCCCGGAAGGGATCCGATACGACCACAATAGGTCCCGAACCAATCATCCCGGTACCGGTAAGCTACTTCGTCAATAGAATCCGCGAGCACACAGCCGCACTTTACCAGCAACATTGGCTCGATCTGGAGACGTGCAGGCAGACCAAGCTCGCTTTTCCATAGGTGAACGCTGCCCTCTCCAAGACTCTCCTACAATCTACATTGCGCATGGTAACAGGTGCTATTACCGGACATACCCCTTTTATCAGATATCTTTTTAACTTAGGTGTCAAAGACATCCCACTATGCAGAGGATACATGGAGGCAGAAGAAACAGCTACTCACGTTCTGCTGGAATGCAACGGAGTTGCCGAATACCAGGCGAAATACCTCGGCTCACCGGGAAATCTCCAAGAGACAGTCATCAATGCGAAGGGGGCCGTTCAAGTATTACGTAAGCACTGTATAGGGGCAGGGGGGTCTTTGCGTTGCTTATTTTTGATGACATGGGGGGGTGGAGGGGTCGAGATAGTGATTACGTCAGCATCATGGATTCGGGTGTCATGGACTGAAGATTGTATACATATACCAAAA